GTACAGCCCTGTGACCGTTTCGCCCTTCTCCAGGTAGTCGATGTAGATCACACCTTGTGAATCCCAGAAAACGGTGGCCATCACCTTTCCGGCCGATAGGATAGTCTTCGCCTTCTTCGGAGCACGTTTGCCGGATGAAGTCCACTGTTTCGACTGTTCCTTGGTCTCTGGTGTATACCAGTGGATCCATGTTTCGTCGACGGTCACGAAACTACGCAGAAACTCCTTCGGATTGCGCTTAAACAGCGTCAAACACTGCTCTGAAGTGGTCTCACGGTTGCGCTTGTTGTCCGGAGTGAGCAAACGTGGCACCCATCGCGCCGACAGCTTTCTCATGCCCAAAATTTCATGCAGGATATGACCCATGCGGTCTTTTGAGATGCCTACTGTCTCAGCTATCTCGTGCACCTTCAATCGGCGGTCTGCCAATACGAGATCGTGGATTTTTGTCATGTTATCCTCCGTGGTAGTCGTTTTCGGGGCACCTAGGCGTGGCTCATCAAAAACCGACGTGCGACCACATTGAAACTTGTTAAATCAATTTTTGACGGTCGCCATCGAAGGAGAAGAGTCACCGTACACAGCATCCAAGCGCTCTTTGATTTCGCTGCGCGATTTCCCTTCCAAAGACAAGAATCGAACCGAAGAATCACAGACCGATATTGCTCTTTTTCCATTTTTCTAAAATCCGCGGACACGCCCACTTCCACACGCGGTCAAAACAAAACTACGAGTCCGATTCGGCTGAAATTTCGACAGTAGCCGTCTACGAGAATGTACTACACGATGGTAAATTTCTCTTGCGATAGTGGCGCCATCGGGCGGTGAGGCTAAGTACTTATCGGACCGCCCTCGTATATTTTCCTGGTACATTTAAATAGTAATAGAAAATTGCAGAAAAGTTTTTTCAAATAATGGCTAGTTATCCTCCGAATGAGATTATTGATATGATTCAGATTTTAGGAAAATAGTGGAAATCACGTAGCAGCTGCAAGACTTTACACATAATGTTATCCAAACAGACGTCATCCCAATAATACCACGATACGAAATCTTACTGCAAGGGCTCTAACGGACATCTAATTCATAAAGGTCGAAGTCAAGGTCATCAGTGGGTGACTCTCTTTAACCTCTACAACTTTTGTTGCAAACATTTTTAGTATCTCCTTTACGTTACAAGTTGTTTGAAGGTATTGATGAAAAATACGTATTTGACTTCAAAATTACCTTTAAAGCCCAGTTCCACAAAATCAAGTTTAAACCGTGATTATCTGAACTGACGTTACATTTAACGGCATGGTTAAACTTATATCGCGTTCTACATCATATTTTTAACTGTAGTTTACTTAAACCTATAGTCTGTATGAAGAAACTGTCAAAGACTTCTTTTTCTTTTCAAACGTAGAGTATGATCAGTTGTTGCTAATAGTGAAAAGAGGGAAAATTGAAATAAGCTGGATGCTATGGCATCTAGTAGAGAACAATATATCTGTTTCGTATCAAGTAAACACTAACCAACATTAACATTTGCTGTATTTGTATATAAGTATTAATTTATTAAAAGGTGGAAGTCCAGTGTTAATAATAATCAATTAGTTTATATTATTGATTTGATTGCATTTATCATATAATAATTGACTTTTATATATAGTTGCTACTCTGTTTTAGAATATAATCTGTCGAAGCAAAAAAACCAATATTTTAAATTAAATTTATATACTTACTGTTCTGTTTTATGAGAAATTTCATGCTCGATTTCTGCTAGAACTGCAATAACAGATTCTTTTGATAATCTAAATCGTGCATGAAAATCGATATTATCAAATTCTTCCAAATATGCTGGTCGTCTTATTCTTATATTTCTTGTCCGTCGATAAATTAAGTTTTCAAAATCTTCATCTTTAGATGAAGATAATATGTATTCTAAAGCCATATCTCTTTGGTGTTCAAACGTTCAAAATATTTGTCAACTGAACTCCAAAACCGGGATAAAGTCATAAATTTTTTTCTCAAATTGATAGTGCTGCAGTGTTAAACTTCGTTTAAATTCATTAAACGCCCAAAGTTTTAGATTTAACTTTAACTGTGAGAAATCAACGTTAACCATGGTTTATTAAGGCAGTTGTGGAACGCAATTTTTCGTCTAAACTAGGGTCGTCTAAACGAGTTAAACTTCGTTTACAGTAAGTTGTGGAACCGGGCCTAAATGTCATGGGACTCCTATCATAATTTACCTATTTGAACGTAAAATTTTCCGCTCTTTTCATTTCTGGAGTAAAAAAATAGTGGTTCCTATTTGAAAAATCAAAGTTGACTTTCAGATGACCTTGAAAATTGATTCCTACAGCTTTTATTTGAAATATTTTTCGCGATCTGGCTTACCTGACGAAATATTTCCGACTGTCGATTGGACCACCCTGTATATGTATGTGTGCGGAATTATACAGTGCCTACCAAAAGTTCCGGGCCACCTAAATAATTTTTGAATTGTTTGAAATGTAGGATTGAAATTTAGGGATATAATGGGATCACAAAGTCTATTATTTAATCACAAAAACACCCACCTTCACACTCCCGGGGTGAGGGGGAGCCAAAAAATCTTAAATGACATGTGGAGTTGAGTGAGAGCTACAAGTAATCTTAATTATAAGACATTAAATATATCTGAAGACAACATAAATTTCTCATGTATATATAAATTAGGTCAAATTAAAAATTTTTCAACCATTTTACGAACAACCACATAAAATTTTGAGTTATTAATTAAAGAAAACATGCGATATAGTAGATGAATTGTTATTGCAATTTTTGCCATTTATGGCAAATGGTATGCCTGTAAATTAAGTTAAACTAAACAAAAATGTCATAAGCCATTTTGCAAAGTACTCTGCAGATTTTAAGTTATTAGTTAAAGAAAATTTACGAATCATTACATGCGATAATATACCAATGTTCTTTAATTAATAACTGAAAATGTATATGGTTATTTGTTGTGTGTGTGTGTGTGTGTTGTGTGTGTGTGTGTGTGTGCGTGTGTGCGTGTGCGTATGCGTATGCATGTGCAGATGCGTGTGTGTATGTGTGTGTGTCTGTGTGCGTGCGTGTGTGTGTGTGTGTGTGTGTGTGTGTAATCACAGTTTAACTTGTTATATGATCATTCGATAATTTTCTTTAATTAATAACTCAGAATTTTATGTAATTGTTCGCAAAATGATAGATGAATTTTTTGTTTAGTTTGATCTAATTTACATATGCAGGGTGTTTCAGGAGGAAAGGTACATATTTCAGGAGGTTATAGTATGGACCATTTTGAGTAAAAAAGTTCATATTAACATGTGTCCAATTTTCAATAAGTGTGGAGTTACAGCCATTTGAATGTTAAGCATCAACGAAATCTGACAAATGAACAAAAGTATAAAAATGACTTATTTTTGCAAAAAACTTACAATAATTAATCCTTTAACTGCTACGGTCGAAATAACTCGAGTGTGGAAAAAAATGGCGGCCTTGCTACGATCGAGTTTACTCGATTTGGACTTTTAATGTGTAATACCCATTTAATTTAATTTGTAAAAAACATTTGAATTGAGCGGGCATGCCATCTCTTATCATTATAAAATGCTTTATAATTGTAAAAATAACTCAGCAAAGAAGGTCATATTGGTCATTTAATATCTCAGCAGTTAAAGGATTAATGAAGACTACATGAAGAACTTACTGATGAAAATAACAAAAACTTATTGGTGCTTTTATTGATACAAAAACCCTGCAAACATAAATGAAAACCACATGAAGAACTTTCTGATGAAATTCGTGATTCACAATCAGTCGAATAATTCACAGCAGTTCAAAGTACATTTTCAAAAATCCCACCACCGTCTTCAATGCACTTTTCAGTTCTCTGTGCAACAGAATATGTAGTTCGTCTGAAGTCGTCTTCACGTTCTTTTATGCGAAAACAAATGTCCTGAATGCGAGCAACCAATTCTTCTCTTGTGTTCACTTTTTCTTTGTAGACTTCGCTTTGCATCCATCCCCATACACAAAAATCTAATGGGGTAAGATCCGGGGACCTTGGTGGCCAAGGAACGGTACCCCTGCGGCCGATTCATCGTTCAATATTCAAACGGCTGTAACTCCACATCTATTGAAAATTGGACACATGTTAATATGAACTTTTTTACTCAAAATGGTCCATACTATAACCTCCTGAAATATATAAACTTTCCTCCTGAAATACCCTGTATATGATTTATGTATCGCAAGCAATCTATATGTTTACATTTGATATACAGAGAGTGTTGCATTGACATACACCTCAGTATGACGGGTTGCATGCCGATAGGCGCGTGCATTCGGGCAGTAATACAAGGGCTATCGGTATGGTCACTCGCGTAGTCGATAAATAAAGTAACACATAATAAATAAGTAGGTATATCAAGGGCGTGTTTTGTCCAAGGACAATATAACGTATTTATCGACTACACTAGTGACCATACCGATAGCCCCTGTATTACTGCTCGAACGCACGCTCCTATAGGCATGCAACCCGTCATACTGGGGCGTATGTCGATACAACACCCTGTACATTTATTTATTATTTATGTATTATTTGATGTATATTTATCTGTAACCATAACAACGAAAGCAAAAGACGTGATATGTGAATATCTTACTGTATAGTATAGAAACAAAAGCTCTATTCATACAATTCGCGAATATAATTAAGTTACGATTTGTACACAAACTGACAATAATCTTAACGTGCAATATACTTTGATTACTAATATTTTCTATCTGTACACATTTGTTTTCGGACGTAAAGCTATCACAGCGACAGATTACTTTTTTAAATAATTAATAAATCAATAAATAATAAACCAGCAATGTGTACGATTAAGATATCCTAATGATTTAATAGTATGACATGTTAAAATTATTATGCTGGTTTATGTATGCGAATGACCTTTCCTCAATTGATACACGATATCTGTGTATAGGTATACGTATGTGAGATGGAGATGGACTTGCAAATATGCCTAAAGAGAAATATCCACAATCGCACTGAAGACGAAATCAATCGGATCATAGATTACTTTGAGCCAACACCTAGCTATCATTTAAAATTAGATGTAAACTCGATGCTGCAAGAACAAGCAATAGAAGAGGTAATTTTATTTCTCTTATTATCATTATCATGCACGTATTTGTATTTGTTGTATTTGTATCATTTGGCATATACGCTACCCGACGTACATTAGTCTAGTCTTTCGCTGTGAAATTCTTAATTGATGATGTCAAAAGTAAGAAAATACATACTCAATATTCTTGCGTGTCATTTCTAAATAAAAAGATATTTGTATAAAAAAAAGTTAAGTCGTTAGAATATACTTGTAAAATGATCCATACAATATGCTTTTCTTTTAAATGTTAATTGGCAGCCATAAAATGACTAATATGAGATTAGTCATACGGAATGATTGTGCATAAGTATCATTATAAAAAGTATCATATTATAGTTATTTTATGATTGCTGATTGCTGATTTAAAAAAAAAGTATAGTGTTTAGAGCATTTCGCAAGTATACTTTAGTGATCTAAAATATTCTTTCACACAAATATTTCTATTTTAAAATGACACTCAAAAATTTACAATATGTCATTTCTCACCTTTAACATCATTATCCAATATAGTCGCAGTGAACACCCAGAAGCCTTAACATATGTGTATAAAATTACATTTTTATTTTAGGTTGACATGGAAGATAGTCAGCAGGAGATACAGGAGAAACCTACTATGCAAAATGAGGACAGTCAAGACAGTCATGAGGATACTCAAGACACAATTGTAATTAAAAGATATTAACTTATATTAAAACATGATTTGTCAAAATAATAGGACAAAACGGATTTGTAAATAAATCATCATATTATATCTTTAAGCCTTAGAGCCTATACTTTCTTTTCAATTTTCTTATATATATTTTATTATATATATTTATATATATTTTACATAAGATTCATTTACCCCCAATTGTAATTTATCACTATATGTATTTTGTATCCAAGATAAAATGTTATTACAGCAAACCACTTAAGATTAAGAAAAAAATTAACTTTGTTAATTTTAATATGTATTGATCGTAGATAACTAGATGATAATTATTGATTCTTTTAGGGTGTCAGCAAATGGGAGAAAATGGAAGCTGAAGATAAATTAGGTTAGTTAGAAGTAACTTACTCTGTGTTTCTGGATTTAAAAAACATATCTTTATTTTTTATTTTCAATACATAGATCGATTAGACGGATTGGCGAAAAAGAAGAATGAAGGAAAACCACAAACCATGGAAGATTTTCTTCAAGTACCCGATTATTACAACATGGAGGATACTTCTGGTAAAAAGCGAGTATGTATCCAAAAACGGAATATTTTAGAAACGTTAGGATTATATTTTTAAAATCATCTCTTTGGTATCTGAATAATTTTGAAAATATCCTCGGATTTATAATAGTTGGAGAAGAATGACGAGTAAAATCATATTTCGATTGTTCTGCTGTGCAGGTACGATGGGCCGATCTGGAAGAACGTAAAGAGCAGGAGAAAATGCGTGCCGTCGGTTTTGTCGTTGGCCACACCAATTGGGATCGTATGATGGATCCCACGAAAGGCGGAAGTGCCTTGACACGCACAAAGTACATATGACTCAAGTTATTCACTTCTAAAGTGTGTAAAGGAAAATAATATAGAATTGTTATTTATCATCATCTCATACAATGTTGTTAAAAAATGTTTGTAGCGTTAGCGACTAAACTGTTCATTTAACATTGCACTCTGCATTTAATTCGTATTTTTAACAAAGAACATGAAATTAATATGAAAAATAAAACTTTATAATATAAGTATTATGAAATTTGAAACATATTAATTAGCTAATTGTTATTATTACAGGTTTTTCTCCCCGTTATAAAAAATAATCTTGTCGAAAGAGAATATGTGTTCTATTAGAGAGAAGCAAAAAATATATATTCAATTGAACACATTGAACGTATTTTGTAATTAAAACAACCACTATTTACATTATTGCACTATATCTGGTTGGATCTGTGAAAGAATCTTGTACATATCTAGATGAACATTACAATTGTGTTCATAAATGTAAGATTTTGTATAGTAAGATACCTCTCTGTAATAGTATATGTGTACAGATGTATATAAACTCTGGTTATATATAACGGATTAATTTCTTTAATGTTAAGAAATCATCTTAAGTATATGTTCTTTTAACACATTTGCTATCATGTTATATTTTTGGAAATTATAGATCACATTTTATTTATTTTTATGTGATTATGTAAAACAGACTTGAGGCAAAGTCTATTATAGTCTCTAAGGCAATCTAACTGCATAATGATAATATCAAATCTCGTATATGAACATCTCGTAAAACTCGAAATACACGTATTGTGGTAGTGAACGAGTTAAATAGAATTGCAAAATTTTAAGTAAAGATTAGCTTAAAACGAGAAATCGATGTGTCACATATGTGTTGTTAATGATTACATGTTGATTATCAAAAATTTTTGACTAATCACATTCATTTCCAGCTATGTGTTTTTCATGAATGTTGATTAATTGAAAAAGTTGATTAATTGAAAATGTTGATTAATTGAAAAAAGTAAAACTATATTGGACACATATACACAGGGGAGGATGGGTAATCCCGCTCCTTTTCCTACGGCGGGCGGCCGGTGTCCCTCCCATCGGCGGACAGAGACGAGCCCTGGGGGGACGAGGACGCCTTCGGGGGGGGGGGAATCAGAGGCGCCTCGTCTGGCGCAACCTCAGGGTCGTCGTCCTATGTGGAGCGCTGTCTATTTCGTCGAACTCAACGAGGACGGCGGTCTCTTTGCGGGACACGACGTCCCCCGTCGTGTATTATATACATCTATCCAGACCTCATCCCTTCCGAGCATGGCCCTGAAAATGGCCGGAAGAGAGGTTTGGTTCCACGCCACGAACTGTCCGAGCGAGGATATGGTGCTGCTGGATCCATGCAGAGCATCTCTCCAGCGTATGCTGTGCCGTGTCCTTCAGCTCCACTGGGCAGTGGTGGCACTTTGCTGTGAGCTCCTTTCGGATGCGGTGCTGGCTAAAACACCCAAGTTACACCTGTTAGTACCTGCACCAGGTGGAAAGTAAGTCTGCGTCCGCGCCTCTTCGCTCACTCGACGAGACAGGGCTGGACAACCTCGGCCGTTCAGAGCCCGGGTACATGGGAGTCGGATAAAATGTCTGACCACCGTTCGATTACCTGGGCTCTGACCTGAGAACGCAGGGCCACTATATCCCTGGCCGTCATTACCTCTCCCTCCCCACGGAGCTCCTTGATGCGCTAGTAAACAACATGACGCTCATATGCTAGGAGCTCCTGTGGGAGAGACCGGCCAGGGTTGTCGCCGCCATGTACGAGGTGGTGCGATAGTTGTGAGTCGCTCTTATGACCACCAACGCATTGCCTAACACATCAGGCGAATATAGCGGTCGGTGGCCATCAGCTGGGGTGTCCAAATGGGCACTTCGTAAAAGGCGACCAACACCATCACTCCGATATACAGGCGGCGAACATGCCATCCCAGACCCCCCAGGTTGTTCATGAGGCTGGCTAACGCTAGCTCCACTTTCCGTATCTGGGGAGCCAGCCGTGCAAAATATGGCCCAAAATCCCAGCAGTTCAACATCAGATCTAGATATTTCATTTGGGGCCTGATATGGACGCGGACATTATCCACCATTATCCAGATTCTGGGTGGCGCTCCGTGACTTCTGTCATGGAAAAATAAAGCCACGGTCTTGTGAGGCGCCACTCTATAACCATGAAAGAAGGAAGGCGTACTAGGTGGCGACGGGACGCCGTGCGTTCGGGACCTGCATCTTATTTTCGTTCCGAGGAGAGAAAAATATCGAGAGCGCGGTAGTCGCTAGACCGGGAATCGAACCCGGGTCTTTCGCTTGCCGGGCGACTGCTCTAGACCTAAAATTCAAACTCCGGATGGAGCTCATTATGCTCACCAGAGCAACCTTGCCTAATATTCGGGCGGTAAATATTTAGAAGTACACAGTCAGCTACGATTTTAATGAGACTAGGCTTATTCGACGCGTTTTTGAGAAACAACTTTTTCCTGTGGCAAAATCGTCGCTCAGTTCCGCGAAGCGAGATGTGAAGGGATTAAAGCAGATCATAATTCAGGTTAGGAAAGCTGTTATATCGACGAGCTTTGGTGACATAAACATGCCTCATAACTAACATAAACTTCCCGAGTAATATGCAAAAAGTTTTAGTCCGTGCTCACTGTTCGTTAAAAAGTTATTAACAAATGAAGTTAGTAATAAGAGTTTGCACCGAGCATGTATACACACGCACACGCACACACACACCGAAGGGAGCGTGCGGGGGGCCCTTCGGCCCCTCCACCCGCACCCCCCCTCGAGGGTTAACGGGTGAAACTCGCTTCACATGTGAGTTTGCGACTTATTGCAACTTTTCACATGAAGCGAGTTGCACCTATTGACCCTCGAGGCCTTCGGCCCCCCGCACGCCCCCTTCGGTGTGTATGTGTGTGTGCATGTGTGTGTGTGTGTGCGTGTGCGTGTGTACACATGCTCGGTGCAACTCTTATCACTAACTTCATTTGTTAATAACTTTTTAACGAACAGTGAGCACGGACTAAAACTTTTTGCATATTACTCGAGAAGTTTATGTTAGTTACGAGGCATGTTTATGTCGTGTTAAGAAATTGCTATTATTGGCGGGAATAATGCACGAATACACGCACGAATGTATTATAGAGCAATGATATCACAAACCGATTTAGATATGTCAACATGAAGGTCATGGAACACTTGGAATTAGTTACGAGGCATGTTTATGTCGCCAAAGTTCATCGATATAACAGCTTTCTTAACCTGAATTATGATCTGCTTTAACGCTTCATATCTCGCTTCGCGAAACTGAGCGACGATTTTGCCACAGGAAAAAGTTGTTTCTCGTGCAAAAACGCGTCGAATGAGCCTAGTTTCATTAAAATCGGAACTGACTGTATATTTCTAAATATTTACCTACTCGGGCTTTTCCACAACTCCGGTCCCCGACTATCACTATCACGTGTCGTCTGCGTAGCAAACGACGTGACAGCCGAGAGAGAAGGCAGTACGAAGCACTCGATCATACGTGAAGTCCTATTGCAGGCAGTCGAGCACCGATCCCTGCGAGACTCCGCAGTGCATGACTCTTCGGCCTTGGACCCCGCCTCTGATGGTATAGGCGAGGTTCCTGTCCTCGAAATAGTCCGTCAATACACGGCAAAGGTAGACGGGGTACTCCATGATATCCCAAGGCCCGCCCAACCTCCGCCAAGGGGATAGTGTTGAAGGTATTTGTTATGTCAAACAACACCGCCAACAATACCCCCCCCCCTGAGCTCCACGGCCTCGTGGGTCAACTACTGGACGCGATGAATTGTGTCCAGGATGAATCTGCGCGGAATTCGTACTGGTGACCGTGAAGGTCCGGACCTTCCGTGGACAGATGCTGGAAGAGGCGATCAGCGGTAATCATTTCGGAAAGTTTCACCATCTTGTCCAGCACGTATATCGGCCTATGGGCCGAAGGGCTGCTGGGAAGGAGAACCAACCTCGCTTTTCCACGCTGGGGGGAAGATCCCCTCTCTGACATATCTTGTCAAGAAGTGCCTCAAGGACGCGGACAGGCTTTCGTCGGCGAGAGCCAGAGTCCAAGCTCGGCCAGCGATGCAAACTTTGAGCAGCATTACGTAGGCGACGGCGAACGGCAGCCCGAGGCGGTGCGAGGTAACGCGTGGGGGACTAGACGAGCACCGACGTATTATCTACTGTCTCTTTCTCACTCGTCTAGCTTGAGGACTATGTGAGCCGCGGAATTTTTCTTGCTACTCCTATGCCTCGCTCTTTCTCTCTTTCGCTCATTCGCTGGTTCTTCCTCTCTTCTCGCGTTCTTGCAGCTTGATATATTAATTATATGACATATACAGGATCATCGAAAAGCATCGGACTCCCCTAATATCTTCAGTTAGAATGCATTTTGGAGAAAACGTTCAATAGCAAAGTTATATGGTTTCAAGCGGGGAGTAAGATGATGACCTTGACTTTGACCTTGTCCATGTCCTTCAAGGTCATTTCAAGGTCAACCTTATTTTTTTAAATGGAATCCCCAACATTTTATTGCATATTCTTATAGCTTATCTTGAGAGCTTTCCAAAACATAATAAAACATTTTTTCATTGAGTACTTTTTGAGTTATAAAGATTTGAAGTTAACAATTTGTAAAGTGGTGTGTGATTCCGGCCAGTTAAGGCAGGATACCACCTTTGCACTTTAAAAAAATTGAAAATTTTTTTTGTTCTTAAAGTACTCTTTCAAGTGTATAGAATCGAAATTCATTCATTAGAAAGGTGGCCGAAACCTTTTTCTTGTGTAAAAACCGGTTTGGAGCAGAGCGCTCTCGGCGCGTTTCTCGGGCTGCCGAGCGCGCGCACACTGTCTGTCTCATATACAATTTACCGACCACATTACGGGCCCTTCTAGTTCCAAATAGTGAAATAGTGACAGTAGTAGATGTAGCTAGTTAGGATTTTCACTATAATATAACATAGATACTTCTATATTTTATATAGTTCATAACGAATTGGTCGTGTAAACATCATTCACGTGTTGCTTGGTTGTGTAACGTCTTTCACGTATTTCTTTCGAATGTTTATGCATTGTTCATCATGGGGAAGACAAAAGTAGAGGAGAGAAAAGAGACAAAAGCAGAAAATAGGCGTGCCTCGAAACCGAGAAACAGCAAAAAGAAGCCGCAGAATCGATACGTGTTAGAAGAAGAAAGTGAAAGTGTCAGTACATCGGTAAAGAAACTGAAACAGAGTGAAGATGAATATCATATCAATGTGGACGCAACTATTGATTATCGTTTCATCGATTTTGTGACTGTTTTTGCAGCAATGTCTGAATTTCTAGTGTGCAAAGTGTGTAAATCTCCCATAAAGTTTCAAGAAGCAAGTATTCGAGGACTGGGTTTCAAAATTGCAATTCTTTGTGAACAATGCTCACCGAAATATATAAAGTCGTGTCCCGTCATAAATAATCATGCATATGATATAAATCGTTGTATAGTTTTTGTTATGCGATTGCTCGGTGTTGGTGTAAATGGAATTAAAAAATTCTGTTCATTCATGTGTCTACCACATCCAGTATTCCAGTCATTTTATGACAAAATCGTTTCGACTATTTCTATTGCTACCGCAACCGTACGAGAGAAATCAATGAAGAACGCAGCTGCTAAAGAGAAAGAATTCCAGTACAGAAGGGACTTACAGAAGGGATAGTAGTTTCAGACGACAGTACGTGGAAGAAGAGGGGATTCTCGTCTTTATTAGGCGTTACGTCATTGATAGGATGGTGCACCGGGAAAGTCATTGATGTTAATGTAAAGTCGAAAATATGTAATCAATGCAATTACTGGAAACGAAAAGAAGGAACGGTAGAATACGAAGAATGGGCTGCGACACACGAAGATAGCTGTCAAAAAAATCACGAGGGATCGGCTGGAAAAATGGAGGTTGACGCAATTATTGAAATGTTTCAACGATCAGACGAACTCCATAATTTGAAATATAGTCACTACATAGGGGATGGAGACAGTAAAACATATAAAGGTATTTTAGACTCGAAACCATATGAAAATTTGGACGTTAAGAAAAAAGAATGTATCGACCACGTTCAAAAAAGGATGGGAACGCGACTTCGGAATTTAAAAAAAATGTACGAGGTATTGGTAGCAGAGGCAAGCTAACTGGAAAATTAATTGACGATCTATCACTATATTTTGGTCTAGCAATACGCAGGAATCATGATTCAATTGTAAACATGAAGAAAGAAATATGGGCCACGGTTTATCATAAGATTTCTACGGACGACAACCCGCAACACAATAGATGTCCAGATGGCGAAAATTTCTGGTGCTCATGGAAACAGGCTAAAGCTCGCAACGAACTCGACAACTATCAACACAAACCAGCAATGAAAGATGAAGTTTTCAATGCTGTTAGACCCATTTATGAAGAATTGAGCCGCGATGAACTATTATCTCGGTGCTTGGGTGGGTTTACGCAGAACAGCAACGAGTGCTTCAATTCTGTTCTGTGGGCTCTCGCTCCTAAATCTATGTCCAGTGGCAAAAAAATCATTGACATTGCTGCTGATATTGCAGTATGTAATTTTAACGATGGGTTACACAGCATTATGGACATTATGCAAATTTTGAACCTGCCTATAAGTCAAAGTTGCTATACTTTTTGTGTACAAGCCGATAATTATCGCATTCAGAAAGCAGAAGATTCGATGACTGAAGCTGTTCGAGAGGCTAGAAGAAGTGGTATTTCTGCTCGCAAGCTTACCAATGAAGAGGATATAGATGCTGAAGGAGTATTGTATGGCGCAGGCATTGCAGATTGACGGTTAGTTGAAAATATTTACTAGTTATATCTATATAAAACTTTAAACGTGTTTTTCTCGAAACGATGTTTTTCAAATCGGCGTGTCAGATTACTTTCACTATTTTCAGCGGATTGACTTGAAACTTTGTACAATTCTTTTCCGTGGTATAATCTAATGATGTACATAGGACTTTTGCTGTAGCGTTGTTATTTTTTTTTTGGTGCACAATTTTATATACTTTTTTACTCTAAAAAATTGACCTTTTTGTTAAAATGACCGCCATTTTCTTAAAAATCGAAATTTCGTAAAATCCCTACGTACAGCATTAAAAATTATTGTTGTTAATAGGAACATTCTTTGGTTTTTTTTCTAGGAGCCACGTACAGAGCGGAATTTGACATGCCGTCTAACGGTGTTCCTCCAAAGGAATATATTTTGGCGCCTCCTACAAGAGATTATTTTTGACTTTTACAGTTTCAAAAAATGTGTAATTACAGATTAAAGTTACATTAATGAATGACTAAAACCGATTTTGTTTCTGCGCATTCTTTGTATGCGAAAAAAAATTCATGAAAAACGCCTCCAAAATCGCAGTCAAAGGTGGTATCCTGCCTTAAGGCAAGAGTAGTGTATGATTCCGATCAGTTAAGGCAAGAGTAGTGTGTGATTCCGACCAGTTAAGGCAAGAGTGATGTGTAATTCTGGCCGGTTAAGGCAAGAGTGGTGTGTGATTCCGACCAGTTAAGGCGAATTTCATTCCAATTGGTCAGCTTGGGCAAAATATTCAATTGTACCAAATAATTCACAACAAATGTTCAAATTGTTGCCCTTCAACAGCCTGGCAATGTGTCAATCTGTTATAAACAGCTGAAACCGCATTCCGGAACATTTCCGGCGGTATTAGTTCTATCTCTCGAGTTATTCTCCCTCTTAAATCATCTAAATCTTGAGGCTTGGTGGCATAAACTTTACTTTTCAAGTAACCCAACAAAAAAAAGTCAAGTGGGGTCAAGTCCGGAGACCGAGGTGGCCACTCAATATGACCCCTTCGCCCTATCCACCTGTCCTGAAAGACCTCATTCAAATATTGACGGACAATGACACCATAATGAGGTGGAGCTCCATCCTGTTGGAAATAAATTTTATCCATATTTCCACCAGCTATATCTCGAATAGCTGGAACAATTTGTTCACGAAACATAACTATGTATACTTGTGCTGTCAAATTGCCTTCAATGAAGAAAGGGCCAACTGGTCTACCATTAAGAATACCAGCCCATACGTTAACTTTTTGTAGATATTGGGTATGATTGTCTCTTTTCCAGTGAGGATTAACGTCACTCCAGTATCTACAATTGTGTCTATTTACATTTTCAGTCAGTTCAAATGTTGCCTCATCAGAGAAAACAATATTATTAAGTAATAGAGGATCGTCGACAATCATCTCCATCATAAGATCACAAAATTCGATGCGTCTATCAAAATCGTCTTCGGATAACTCTTGGACCAAATGGAGTTTGTATGGATGCCATTTATTCAATTTCAGAATTTTACTGACAGATCGGCATGACCGATTTCGTGTTCTTGTGCAACGCGATTGATAGAAATGTGGAACAACGGAAATGTGGTTCAACGAAAGACTGTAAAACATCTAATGCCTTATCATTATTTGTTGCTGTTTTACGTCTACCAGATCTTGGGCGGCTTTTAACGCTACCAATGTCCTCGAAACGTTGAATAGTACGGATTACAGTACTTTTGGAGATCCTATTATTTTCATTCCGAAAATTTTCTTTAAATAATCGCGTTACTGTTTTATACCCTCTTTGTTGATCTCCCCATCCTCGCATCATTAACAGTGTTATTCGATCTCTTTCAGAAAGCTCCGCCATTCTTAATTAGAGCAAAGAAGAATTAATCAGGTAAGTGATAGGAAATTGATCTAAATAATTAAGTAGAGAAAAATACTAATTATTAAATGTTGGTCCAACTTTCGATTTGTTTACTTCAACCAGCACTAGCAAAAAGCTCGTTGAGCAACTGAAAATCTAATAGATCAATTAATATTTATGAAAAAATTCTGGGCTATTGGAAACAAAATGAAGATGTTTGGGACAATCAATTGAAGCGCAATGGCTTCTTTTGTTACAGAAACAATTTTTGGGGCTGTTCGTTTTCGTCCACGAAGTGACTGCTGCTCGCTAAGAAGAAGACAGCACTGCATCAAAGATTCAAATCAGTGATCCGCATCGTTTGCTCAAGAGCTTGTATTACCATTGGTGCCTGCGAGAGTGAGACAATAAAGATCGGCCCCGCCAACGCTTTCGGGCAGATTCCCGCTAACGCCTTCGGACATTACGCATTCGAGTAGCTTTTCGTGATCACCTTCGGGCAGTTTTCGGTCATGCCTACTAGCATAACCGTTTGAAGCCGTACAACTTTGTTATTGGACATTTTTCCAAAATGCATTCTTACAGAAAATATTAAGGGGAGCCGATACTTTTCGATTAATGTATTTTCTTTAAACCAATTAATTGGTCTCATTATTTCGCGCACAAAAGTATTAAGGTTATGATTACTGAAAACTAAATAATATTTTACAAGACATTTTATATTTTGTGTCAAAAAATTGTTAACTTCAAACCTTTATAACTCAAAAAGTACTTAATGAAATAATGTTTTATTATAGTGTTTTGGAAAGCTTTCGAGATAAGCTATAAGAATATGCAATAAAATGTTGGAGTTTCTATTTAAAAAAATAGGGTTGACCTTGAAATGATCTTGAAGGACATGGTCAAGGTCAAAGTCGAGGTCATAATCTTATTCCTCGCTTGAAACCCTACAACTTTGCTATTGGACATTTTCTCCAAAATGCATTCTAACTGAAGATATTAGGGGAGTCCAATATTTTTCGATGACCCTGTATAATGATATACAGTGCTGGACAAAATAAATCATACACCTTTCAACTATTTGAATTTGTTAGTGTAACTATTCTTACAACAAGCAAATAGATTATAAGATACAGGAAAATCAAAGTATTGTAAAGTATTTAAATAAAGGAAATGTGAAATAATAAAAATTGTGCTCAATTTGTTTGCAAATTATTTATTACTCAATATTGGTACATTGTACTCTGGACAAAATAAATCATACACCTAAATGATATAACGTAGGGAACTGTCAATATTTACATTTTATCGTTCTGCTATTGTTTGTCATTCTACTGTTTGTTTACATTGTATCAGATATAGTAAAAAGAAATCTATTATTTTTCCAATAGATGGCTTTAGTTATCTGTATCTCGCGTTGTACAAGTCCGATCGGGTTCCACTAGATGGCGTTAGAAAGATGAGATTTCGTACTAAAAAAACTTTTTTGACAGTTTTGTGATTAGTTGACTCAGTTTTGTTTGAGCGCGCGTCAAAGATGGACACTAGTAAAGAGAAAATACGTTATATTTTACAGTTTTTCTTCGATAAAGGCAAAAACGCAAGCCAGGCGGCTGAAAATGTGAATAGTGTTTATGGTCCTGATACTGTAACAGCCAATCACGCGCAATTTTGGTTTCGTTGATTCCATTCCGGTAATTTCGATGTCAAAGATGCACCACGCACTGGAAGGTCAATTGTCGAAAATATTGATAAAATCATGGACATTGTCGAGTCCGACCGTCATGTAAGCACTGTTTCGATTGCCCAAGAATTAAAGGTTGCACAAAATACCGTTTGGAACCATTTGAATAAGGCTGGATACAAAAAGAAGCTCGATATATGAGTGCCACACGAGTTAACGAAAAAAAACCTCATGGACCAAATTTCCATCTGCGAATCGCTGCTGAATCGCAACAAAATCGACCCATTTTTGAAGCGGTTGGTCACTGGTGATGAAAAGTGGATCACTTAAGACAACGTCAAGCGAAAACGGTCGTGGTCGAATCGCGGTGAGCCGGCAGAAACGGTGGTCAAGCCAGGATTGACGGCCAGGAAGGTTTTGCTGTGTGTTTGATGGGATTGGCAGGGAATTATCTACTATGGGCTGCTCCCCTACGGCAAAACTCTTAACTCGGAACTGTACTGTCAACAATTGGACCGTCTGAAGGAAGCAATCGCCCAGAAGCGGCCAGCTTTGGCCAATAGGAGAGGAATTGTGTTCCATCAGGACAACGCCAGGCCACACACATCGATAGTGACTCGCCAGGAGCTCCGGGAGCTTGGTTGGGAGGTTCTTATGCATCCACCTTATAGTCCAGACCTGGCACCAAGTGATTACCATTTGTTCCTGTCCATGGCGAACAATTTTGCTGGTGAAAAATTCGTTTCAAGAGAGGCTTGTGAAAATCGACTGTCTCAATTTTTTGCCAATAGGGACGAGGGCTTCTATGAGAGAGGCATAATGAAATTACCTTCAAAATGGCAACAAGTTATCGAACAAAACGGCGCATATTTGACCTAAATCGGATCATTCTAACTATGGTAATTAGAGCCTTCAATTTCATGCAAAAATAATGGATTTCTTTTTACTACACCTGATATATACGACTAGAATTTATGTGTTCGGTGAAGCAGTAATAATTGTGACAACTAAGAACAATGTCACAGAAGCAAATTTCTCTTGATATCCGAAATTTAGTCATTCGCGACCGACAGAATGGTAATTCTCTTAGAAAAATTGCTAATAAATACGCGATTTCTGTCGGAGCAGTGCAGCACATCTGGAAAAAATATGAAACACATCGGATTGTGGCAAACTATTCCGGGAAAGGTCGAAAACGGGCTACAACTTTTCGTGATGACACCAGAATCGTTCGAATGCTAAAACAAAATCCGAAGCTATCATCGCGAAACATTGTGGAATCGATGAACCTGACTGTCAGCAGTAGAACTGTGCGTCGTAGACTTAGGGAATCTGGACTAAAAAGTGTGTTCGCGTCAAAACGTTCTTTCATCAATAAAATAAATAAGAAAAAGCGATTCGAGCCAAGAAGTACGCGAATATGCTTCTAAGTTTTTGGAAAACAGTATTGTGGTCTGATGAGAGCAAGTTTGAGTTATTCAGACAAAAACGACGGTCTAGAGTATGGCGAAAATCTGGTGAAGGTCTCAAAGAAATAAATGTTCAGAAAACTGTAAAACATGGAGGCGGTAATATCATGGTATGGGGATGCTTTGCATGGTCTAGTATCGGTAATTTAGCTCGAATTGAAGGCATTATGACGGCAGAAAAATATATTGATATATTGTGCGAGAATTTGGAAGAATCTCTTTTGAAATTAGATTTAGAAACTAACTTTATCTTCCAGCAAGATAATGACCCGAAGCATAAAGCGAAAAAAATATTGCCTTTTTTAAATCTAATAAAGTAAAACTGCTCGAATGGCCGTCACAATCACCAGACTTAAACCCCATTGAAAATCTGTGGACTTATTTAGATAGGAACG